CTATCTAATTTAACTGATTACACAACCTCAGATACTATTCCCATACAGAACAGGTAAGAACAAATATTTAATTTAAAAAAGTAATATTTTAAATCTTGTCATTTTTAGTAGTGTTCTCGACGTTAATGGCTCTTTGGTGTCTTCAGATGAAATTGCAAATTATGTTTTGCAAAAAATGAAAAATAACAAAACACACCAACAAATGAACAGTGAAAGAGTTCATTTAATTCCTCATTCTTCAAAACCTGTTAATGAGTATTATAATCCAAAATTATTAGTGGGTTTGTATCCTACTCTGTTCTGTTATGGACGTGGTGCACCTGACGATCAATCACGTCCTGTTAAAGCGAATTTACGAGAACATATACGCTACCTATTATCCTACAATGATCGACGTTTTGAAATGAATCACAGCTTTATATTTGTGGTCTTCAATATATTGCAACGACGTAATGCTTGTTTTCATGCTCAATTGATCACAACGAAACCTTACTTTCGAGAATCAGCCCAGGATATCCAGACTTTAAACAGTAAAGACATCGAAACCGCTCTCGAGAATATTTCCAAAAAAACATATAACTCAGAATCAAACAGTGCATTAAACAAATTATTAAATCATATCAAAACCATCGGTGGTCGAGTTATGGGCTCCGCATATTCACGCACGGCCTTACGAACTCGCATTCATTCGTTAATATATAATCAATGTCTACCTAACATCTTTATGACGTTAAATCCAGCTGATATTCATAGTCCCGTCGCACTATATTTTGCGGGTGTCAAGCTTGATTTGGACAACATTCAAATGGAACAATTGCTCAATACTTATAAAAGAGCTGAAATAATAGCATCTCATCCTGTAGCTACCGCCAAATTTTTTCATTTATTAATCACCAATATTTTAGAGACTATAATTGTTGACGGTGTTCTTGGGCCAATAAAGGCTTATTTCGGTACTGTTGAAAGTCAAGGACGAGGTTCTCTTCATCTACATCTTCTTATTTGGCTTGATCATGACATGAAACCGGCCGCTATGAAAGAGCAAGTTCAAAATTCTACTTTTCGTGAGAAGTTGAAAGCGTATCTAGAAGATATTATCAAAGAAGATCTAGATGAATTCAAAGATAAATATGTCTTCGAGAATTCAGATGGTATATAAGATTCTTTTTTAATTTAAATATCACATTCTGTTTTTATATTACAGCATCAAGGTCATTCAATACTCCAACACAATTATCAAGAGATAATATTTATACAGCTTTACGTACTATTGATTTGGCAGGTTTAGAAGAAAATACAAATGAACATGGTATTCAATCGACACCAACGAAAGAACGATCTTCTCCATCAATTCCTTATGGTTCTCCACCAAATCTTTATGGTTCTCCACCAAATCTTCATGGTTCTCCATCAATTCCTTAT